GACACTCACCAATAGCAGAAATATCCACCCTACTTCATATATGTTCTAGATAGGGTTTGGAAGCCCTGACGTTCGGTTTCGGGTTTAGGGCTTGGGGCTTCGGGTTTAGGGTTTATGGTTCACGGTTCAGAGTTCAGGGTTTAGGGTTTAGGGTTTAGGCAGGGTAAGGGTGTAGAGTTTAGGGTTTAGGGTTTAAACTCGGACCACCAAAAACACAACCCAACACCAACCACCAAAACCCAAACCCCAAATCCTAAAAACCTCTCTGACAATTGCCATGCAGATTGGTGCCGCATTGAGGTTCCTCTCGGAGCACCTTTCAGGGATGAATCTCAAGGGCGGCTTCATCTACATGGTCGAGAAGGCTCTTCTGAACCCTAAACCCTAAACCCCAAGCCCTAAACTGGGATAGGTGGAGCAGGGGAGGCTGGAGGGTTTAGGGCTTGTGGTTTAAGGTTTAGGGTTGAGGGTTTCGGACTAGCCACCAGCAAGAGATAAGCCGAGAAGCGTGGCGCCAGCTTGCCAGAACATACGTGACGAGAAGCTAAAGGCCTGCTTCTCCTCCTTCCCTTTGCCGGCCCCACACAGATTCCTCTGCTCTGCAATCCAGTCCCTTAAATCTACGTGGCATTCCAAAAGTAAGGGTCCGTCCGTATTACTGGAGCCTCCAGAAAACCCTAAACGCTAGAATAAGAATAAGAAGAGTTTCGGGCTTTCCGTATCTTTCGTTTTAGAGGAGCCCTAAACCCTCAACCCTACACCCTACTTCTGGCTATCCATGGACCATCAAGTACAGGGGCAGCTCACAGAGTGTAGGGTCTAGGTTCTAGGGTGGTTAAAATGCACTCCTGCATTGATGCATCGTCAGTACAGATATAACTACGTGTTTATATGGCCCCCTTCAGGGTACCAAAATACACACGTTTAGGGTTTAGGGTTTAGGGTGTAGGGTTTAGGGTTTAGGGTTTAGGGGGGTTTCGGGTTTAGGGTTTAGGGGTTTAGGGTTTAGGGTCCAAGCGAACTAAACCAAACCTTGAACAAAACCCAGGCAAGCGAGAAGAGGGGCGTTCTGGGCGTCCTAGATAGGCGTCCCCCACCCCCCCACCCCCCGCCCTTACCTCCTGGGAACCCCCTCTTAAACACGAAACCCTAAACCCGCATTAAAACCCAATTATGTGCCCGACGCATTGGAGGCCACCGGGATTTTCGTGGCCTCGTCGGACACATCAGCGCCTGATCCCTTTCAGGGGATTCTTGGAGGGTTTAGGGTTTAGGGTTTAGGGTGTAGGGTTTAGGGCTTAGGGTTCGCAGAGTTTAGGGTTGGGGGTTTCGGGTTTAGGGTCTAGGGTTCAGGGTTTAGGGTTTAGGGTGTAGGGTTTGGGGTCTCGGGTTTAGGCTTTAGGGTTTGGGGTTTAGGGCTATTTCGGCCGGCGGGATTCATGGTTTAGGGCTTTCAGGGCTTTCAGGGTCTAGGGGTTCAGTCTTTAGGGTCTTTAGTAGCTTTAGGGGTTTTAGGGGCTTCGCAGGCTTTAGGCGTTTAGGGGTTTGCACGCACGGGCTCTTATAGGTTTCGAAGGGCTCATAGGGTTCATCGGGTTTGGTTCTTGCGAGTGAGGCCGGCAGACAGCAGGGCGCAGGAGGGTTTAGGGTTTTGGGTTTTGGGTTTAGGGTTTATGCAAGATGTTTTGTGTTGCAAGAATAGGTTGAGGGGTTTAGGGCTGATGCTGGAATTTGAGGTGTCACCCTAAAGCCTAAACCCGAAACCCTAAACCGCACAACCCGGCTCAGGCACGTAGGAAAATGCCCTTGCAGGTGCAGTCGCTTGCTCCGGACGAGAACGGACAGCTCACCGTGATGCTGAAGCCGCTTGGGTGTACGCGTAAAACCGGGGCAGCATGGTATTGCATGTAGGGCTCTTCAGGGTTTAGGGCTTAGCGTTTAGGGGTTGAAGGGGCTTCAAGGTTTTGTTTGTGGTGTTTAGGGATTAGAGCGTCTCATCAGAGGGTGTGGCCCGACGAATGTGGAAAGAGCTCCGCCCAAGAGGTGGTGACTCCATAGTCTGAACCCTAAGCCCTAGACCCTAGACCCTAAATCCTAAGCCCTCAGCCCTGAACCTGTTTTGTTTTGTTGTGCGTTGTTTTGTTTTGTTTTGTTTTGCGTTGTTGTTTTTGTTGTTGTGTGTTGGTTTGTGTTGGTTTGTTTAGTTTTTGATTGAGGGTTTTTGGAAAGTTTAGGTTCCTTGCAAAGAAGGCCCTTTCAGAATTGCATGTGTTTTCCGTTTAGTTTTTTGATTAGGGCCCATGTCTGCTCAGAGTTCAGCATTCAGGGTTGGGATGTTCCCCCTTATACTGTACTCACAGTCCTTAATAGGGTTTATAGTACCCCCTATTCTAATCCCTATTCAGGACTGTTAGTATAAGGGGAGGCCTACAAGACTCTGCAATAGTACTGAAGTACTGAGCAGCCTGTAGGAACCCTAAACCCTCAACCCTGAATCCCAAACCCTGAGCCCTAAACCTCAAACCCTAAACCCCAAATCCCAAACCCTAAACCCCAAACCTCAAACCCTGAACCCCAAGTCCCAAAGCCTGTAAAGGGGGAATCTACGTCCCCGATCTTCGCAAGGGTCTGGGGATTGAACCAGGCCCTGCGCTGTATGAGCCAGAGAGTCTAGAACCCTAACTCCCCCCCCCCCCCCCCCCCCCCCCCCCCCCCATGTGCCAAAACCCTAAATCCCTAGAACCCTAAACCCCTAAAACTCTACAACCCTAAAACCCTGAACCCCTAGAACCCTAAAGCCCTAAGACCCTAACTTCGAAAGCCCCCATGGGATGTTCCCTTTGGGTCCTGGCAGCCTCTATGCTTCCTCAGTTTAACTAGGATGCCCCAACTCAGTACCCTTCTTCGACCCTTTCTCAACCTAATCAAACCAAAAAAGGGCTCCCTTTAGTATCCTAGGGTGCTAAACCCTGAACCCTAAACCCTGGACCCTAAACCCTAAACCCTAAACCCTAAACCCTAAACCCTAAACCCTAAACCCTAAACCCTAAACCCTAAACCCCTCAGCCCTAAACCCTAAACCTTAAACCCCACAGGGTGCCTTCATCTCAACCCGAAACACGCGCTTAGCGAGGCCCAGCGAGGTGCCTCATCCGATGATCAACGGCTCCGCGACCATCGTCGCACCCGATGGCCCCATGGCTTCGAGTTGGGCGTGTGGGGGAGGGAGGGAGGGGGGGTGGGGGGGGTTAGGGTTTAGGGTTTAGGGTTTAGGGTTTAGGGTTTAGGGTTTAGGGTTTAGGGTTTAGGGTTTAGGGTTTAGGGTTTAGGGTTTAGGGTTTAGGGTTTAGGGTTTCGGGTTTCGGGTTTCGGGTTTCGGGTTTCGCGGGTTTTGGGTTTCGCGGGTTTAGGGTTTAGGGTGTAGGGTTCAGGGTTCAGGGTTTAGGTTCTAATTGTTATCTTGTTTTTTTTGTTTGGGGGGGGGGGGGGGGGGGGGGGGGGCGGGGCGTTGTTTCAGGTTCCTTTTATCTACTGAAGTTTGGGGTTGAGGGCCCAGGGTCTTGAAGATTCGTCACATTCGTCCTTCACTTGCAATACCAAGTTCATGTTCATTGCAACTCCTCTTTGCCGAAGAACCACCCCAAAAAAAGATTCTTCCGTATTAGGACAAGACAGTAATCATTGTTCTTGTGTTTTTGGGTGGGTTCTTAAGCAATTGTGTAGTTTAGGGTTTAGGGTTTTGAAAAAGTGCCTGCTTTGCTGCTCTGCCTAACTTGCGCGTGCAGAAGCAAAGCCCTGGGTATGGAATCAGGGTTCACGGTCTGGGTTTAGGGTGTAGGGTTTAGGGGTTAGGATTTAGGGTTTAGGGTTTGGGGAACCCAAGCGCCCCTACGCAGTCATGACATGTACGCCTACATGAAGCCCCAAGCCCTAACCCTAAACCCTAAACCCTGCAACCTCGTCAAGGCCTTAGGGTCAGGCTCCGGCCCTGGGAACTGCACAGCCCGAACCCTAGTTTAGGGTTTAGGGTTTAGGGTTTAGGGTTTAGGGTTTAGGGTTTAGGGTTTAGGGTTTAGGGTTTAGGGTTTAGGGTTTAGGGTTTAGGGTTTAGGGTTTCGTAAGGGTAAACCCCCAACCCTCAACCCATTCAACTCTCAAAACCTTTCAAAGATTGAGTCCGGCTTCCATTCAGATCCGAAACCTTTCCTACTTGATTCCCTGTCACGGTCCAGAGTCCAGACCATTCTTGAGATTCTTTAGAATCTCTCCAGTGGCCATCGATACCTCGAGATTTTCGGTCGATGGTGGAAATGACGATCTACTCAGCTGTTGAGCTTGTTTTCTGTGGACGACGGCTTTGTCATAGTCATGGGATGGCATGACATCTGCCTGGATGATCAAGCAGCAGCCGATGCAAGCTTTAGGATTTAGGGTTTAGGGTTTAGGGTTTAGGGCCACGGGCACCGCAGCTGCGGCATGAAATGCAGATGCTCGACGCTGGACTCCCCGACTCACCGATGGAGAGTATCTCTGTGCTAGGTTGTCTTCTTGCTTGTTTTTTTCGTTGTTTTTGGTTGTGAAAATGACTTTTTTGACAGTAGCATTACTGTTATTCTCATTGGCGTGATGCATGTTATTGTTTGTTAATGCGATCTTCAGTTTTACTGTTGCTAGTTTTTTCTAGCTGTTATTTTTCATTGTTATTTGTTCGCCTTAGTGTTGACATTCCTATTACTGTGGATTGGATTTCGGTTTTTTTTTATATACGGCTTAGGGGTTTGCAAATCTGCTCTTGGCGCGTACCAAGAAGTGCCAATAGTTTCACCCCCCTAAGCAACAAGGACGCACAGGAGCTTTCAACCCGTTTCCTGGTTCAAAGGGGATTGATGGGTTCCCTTACAACCCTTATCGACAGATTGAGCACCCTTATTATATACTTCTTAGGTGAGCCAAGCAACTCTACACCCTAACCCCCGGTTCATTGCTAGGATACTGGCATTATGCGATCTTTCCCAGGCAACTGGACTAACGTCGTTCACCAACTTGTGGAAGTGGAGGCGCGACTTTCCTTTTAGCAGGGTGGGGAGGGGGGGGGGGGGGGGGGTGGGGTTGGGTTAGGATTAAGGGTTGAGGGTTTTTTTTTTTTTTTTTTTTTTTGGGGGGGGGGGGGGGGGGGGTGGGGGGGGGGGGGGGGGGGGGGGGGGGGTGGGGGGGGTGGGGGGGGGGGGGGGGGGGGGGGTGGGCGCTGCAACGACATGAAATCTGGCGTTCCGCCCCCGCAGGGTGTCGAAAGTTGCCTAGGGCCAGAAGGCACCTGGGCTTAGGGTCTTTGAGTTTAGGACTGTCATGGGGTTCGACCTTGGGGCCCTAAGGTTGTACCCTCGTGTTTGGGGTTTGCAGATCCTCAAAGGCAATATCAGGGCCATATTTGGAGTACTTTTGGGGGAAACCTCTTAAAGGCACATCCTTGGGGGTGCGAGCATGACTCCCTTGAGATTTAAGGTTCAGAACTGTGGGCCTGTGTTGAAAGGGGGAGAGGGTCGCAAGGGTTTAGGCTTTGGGGCTAAAGGTTTGCCCTTTAGGGTTTAGGGCAACCCTAACCCCGAGCCCCAGAAAAGGAACCATAATCTACCATCGGCCCCTAAGCCTAGAATCCCAAATCCATGCATTTCGAATGGCCGTTACAGGAAAGGAGAACCACGGTCTCTAGGTTTTAGGGTTTAGGGCTATAGGGCTTAGGGCTAAATAGGGTGTAGGGCTCAGGGTTTAGGGCTTAGGGTTTTCAGGGATTTAATTCAGGCCCGAGGGTGTATTGCCGATGACTTCGCTCGATGCTAAAGTCTTGGGCTTTAGGATATCCTAGGGCTACGTAACCCTGAACCGTGAACCCTGAACCCTGAACTTTAAACCTGAACCCTGAACCCGAAGCAAGGTTTAGCCTAAGCTCTCAGGCCTCAACCATAGACTCATACACATCGAGAGAGAGAGAGAGAGAGACGGAAGGTGAATGGCCGCTATGAGTTCATGCTGACCTTTCAGTTCAGCTACTACAACCTGGTGCTGGAGGGAGCCTCTTGGCAGACGTCATCCAAGATTTAGTTCAAACAGGGCATAAGTCGGATAGCCAAAAACACCAGTTCCTGATTCCTCCCAGTAGGCATTTAGTTTAGCTAGGTGGCCAAAGGTTCGGGAGTTCGGGCGGGTGGTCATGGTTCAGTGCTGCAAGCTGCATTCAGGAAATGCGCTCGTAAGCTGTCCTGTGAGCAGGGCAGCAAGGAATCTACTGTGCCCTGATGCTGTCTACGTGCCGGCTGCGATTGGAACTGCGCTGTGAGTTGCCGTAGAGGGGCCCTAAGCCCCAAAGCCCCAAAGCCTGGCACGCAGTGGTACCTCATAAGCCTCTCATTTTTCTTCCCGCATGCCAGATAGTCCAGCTGTTCATTCAAGCGGACTAAAGGATCTTTGATCTTGTTTTGGTTTGAGAAAATGGCAATAGTCTATATTATGGTCCTTGTTTGATTTCTCATCACCACAAGACGGAGCCTTATATCTCGAGCACTGTAAAAGTTTTGAGAACGCCTCGCACGCTTAGGAGACAGCAACAACAAAACTTCGAACCGGGTTTCAACATTGGTCTGTTGTTGACATGAAGGGGATTGCTCGAAGGTGCAGGGGTGGTCGAAAGTAGGATTGCACGCTCCTTTTGTCAGGCTATGAGTGCAGAAACCCTGCTTGTAATCTGAAGTGTACATATCTTATCTTGGATGTCTTATTCTTATTATCATACTACATGTCATGCATCTCATGTGTTTGAAGTATGTATGTTATGTCATATTCGGTCTGCAATTTGCATATGTATCATGTATTACATATTACATGGTGTATACTTTACCTTATGTAGTGTATACCATGTACTATATCTTGTACATTTGTTGTTTAAGATGTGTATCTGTGTATACATATATAATAGACATTTTATCTTCTTTCGCATGCAGTTACTTATTTGCTATTCTGCTTACTGTATGTTGTACCGTCTATATTGTGTATTGCATACCACATACTACTCAGTGACCTGTTGTGTTTACCAAGTGTCTTCCATATTGTATACTGTATAAAGCCTAAACCCTAAACCCTGAACCCTGAACCCTGAACCCTGAACCCCAAACACCAAACCCCAAACCCCCAGCCCCAAGCCCCAAGCCCCAAGCCCCAAGCCCCACCCCATGCCCCATGCCCCATGCCTCAAGCCCCAAGCCCCAAACCCAAGCCCCAAACCCCAAGCCCCAAACCCCAAGCCCCAAACCCCAAACCCTGAACCCCAAACCCTATCTAGCTGTTTTCTCTCAGTTCCTTGAAAGGTCTACATGGTGCCTCGCAGCGTGGTGCTGGCCGACTTGGATGAGAGACTTGGCACTCCAGAACCTGAAATCAATAGATGTGCCCTTCCATAAGGGTTTTCTCTAGGGTTATCTAAGGGTTTAGGGTTTAGGGTTTAGGGTTTAGGGTTTAGGGTTTAGGGTTTAGGGTTTAGGGTTTAGGGTTTAGGGTTTAGGGTTCGACCGCAAGCACCTGCGCTTGCTCCTGGTCGTTGCGGTCCCCTTGCAAGGCGTCTTACGTCCCTAAACCCGAACACACAAGCCCTACTCCCCAAGCCAATGGCCCTAAACCCTAAACCCTAAACCCTAAACCCTAAACCCTAAACCCCAAGCTGAACCCTCCATCCCCACCAGCCCTAAACACCTTCAGTAAGGGTTCCTCGGACGCCCAAAAGGTACTGTTGTTCCCTCTTTTAGGCACAGGATCCCTTATCAACCCGTAGTTAAAGCAAGAAGGGTGCCCCTCCCTAAACCCTAAGCCCTAAACCCTGAACCCTAAACCCTAAACCCTAAACTTTTTATCTAGGTTACTGGGGAGGGGTGAGGACCTGGGTTTAGGGTGTAGATGTTTTTCATAGCTGAGGATGGCGACAAGGGACGCGGTCACAAGCATCTCGGCTTCGGACGTAAAGGTTTTGGGTTCAGGGTTTAGGGTTTGGGGTTTCGGGTTTAGGGTTTCGGGTTTAGGGTTTAGGGCTTTAAAATTAGGGCTCGAGGGCTTGGGGTTCACGGTTTGGGGGTTGAGGGCTGAGGGTTCAGAGTTTTCAGGTTACAGTACGTGGATTCTGTGCTTCTTTTCCACTCAAAACCCCTAAATCTAAGGTTGGAACCAGGGGCCCTTAGTGTGCTCCCTTATCCTTGCTTATACGGATCCGAAGTATGGGCCCTGTGTGTAGTGTAAGCCCTAAACCCTAAACCCTAAACCCTAAACCCTAAACCCTAAACCCTAATTAAGGTCCCACAGTTGGAACCTTAGAGCAAGGCCGCTAGACTCTACAGACTTAGCCGTTTTGGGGTTTAGGATTTAGGGTTCTCCAAGCAGAGTGCCTGCCTGCTTTCCTGCGTTTTGTGAACTCTGAACGCTGTGCCCTTAACCCTGACCCAAACCCCAAGCCATAAACCCCAAACCCTAATCCCTAGACCCTGATACGACCCGCGCGGCAGAAAATCACAAGCACATGCTTGCTTCTGAGCTCGTTGTTGCAGCTGCGGGTGTCTGAACCCTATAAACCCTGAACCCTCAAGCCTAAACCCTCTAAACCCCAGACACGTTTACTTGCTGCGTTGGAGGTAAACCCATCCCTCCTTTTGCTGAAGCCTGTCCGGTCTCTGTGCCTAGGGGGGAGAGGGCGTTCAGGGGTTAGGGTTTAGGGTTTAGGCTTTAGGGGTTAGGGGTTAGGGTTCAGCATTTAGGGCTCTGGACTCCGCAAGGCATTATCCTGAACATCTTCTTCTCCGGCATCCTGATGGGCGGCGTGATCTTTGCGGCTGGGCTCCGTGAAGCTTCGGAGTTTGTAGGGTTTAGGGTTTAGGGTTTAGGGTTTAGGGTTTAGGGTTTAGGGTTTAGGGTTTAGGGTTTAGGGTTTGGGGCTTGGGGTTTGGGGTTTGGGGTTTAGGGCAACCCCCGAAGCATCGCAAATCAGCAGTCGTCGTAGCAGTAGCAGAAGCAGTAGCAGTAGCAGTATCAGTCGTTGGTGGTGGTGGCGGCTGGTCGTAGAAAAGATGTGTATAAGCCGGGTTGGTTTGATTAGAAGACCTACCCAAAAACCCCTAAAAAGTTAAGATACTTTAACCCCTAAACCCAGAACCCTAAACCCTGAACCCTGAACCCTAAACCCTAACCCTAAACCCTAAACCCTAAACTCTGAACTCTGAACCCTGAACCCTAAACCCTAAACCCTAAACCCTGAACCCTGAACCCTGAACCCTGAACCCTGAACCCTAAACCCTAAACCCTAAGCCTTACCCAGCAGCTGAGGTGGGATATCAGACCTTCAAGCGTCTGCGCGAGATCGCTCAGGAGCAGTTGGGCCGTTAAGGAAAGAGACTTTTGGCATGGTTTCGAACATAGGAGCCGAACTCTACACCCCAAACCCTAAGCCCTGAACCCTGAACCCTAAACCTTAAACCCTAAACCCTAAACCCTAAACCCTAAGCCCTAAGCCCTAAGCCCTAAACCCTAAACCCTAAACCCTAACCGCATTATCAGTAGTGTTTAGGGGGGCAGGGCTCCTATCGCTTCATAACCCGCCTTGTAGCTGACTCTTTACTTTTACAACATTAAACTACCCCAAATGCGCACTCCTCGTTACATCGGCCCCATACCTTGGCTTCTCCCAGAGATGTGGGTCAGTGCAGGTGCAGTGCAGGGCCTCCTGTGAAGGTTCCATGCCCCAAGCCCCAAACCCTTACTTAGCCAATGCTGGAACTTTAAACTTTTTGGGTTCCTCACAAAGTGGGCAGAATAATCCTGTTTAACTTTTTTTCCCTTGGTTATTCGAGAAGTAAGAACGCCAAACCCCAAACCCCAAGCCTCGAAGCCCCCAAGCCCCAAAACCCCAAGTTTCCGAAACCCGCAGATTCCCCTAAGCCCCCTCAGGCCCCCCCAAACCGACAAAACCTTTAAGCCCAAAACTCCCCAAGCCCCCTAGACCGACAAATCCCGAAGCCTTGACTCTAAGGGTAAGTATATGGAGCAGGGTATATATTACTGTTTTTGGTGAGTGTATATAAGGTTCCTTGTTAATATTGGTGAGTATATATACCTGGCGTCCTTTTGGGGGTACAAGAAATATATACCCTTCCTCTGGTTTTGAAGCAATGGGCCCTGTGGGTTCTGCAGGGTATATAAGGAATTGGTGAGGGATCCCCTTTTGAAGGCCCTAAACCGTAAACCCTAAACCCTAAGCCCTAAACCCTAAGCCCTAAACCCTAAACCCTAAACCCTAAACCCTAAACCCTAAACGATGTAAGTACCCTTAAGGGACCATGCAACTACCCGAAGATTGACTCACAGGAGCAGAGGCGGCTTCTGCATGTGAAGGCTCCGAGGGGGTTTAGGGTGTAGGGTTTAGGAAAAGTTTAAGGTGTCTTTAGGTTTTTTTAGGGTGTTTAAGGGTTTTTTTGGTGTTGTTAGGGTTGTTAGGGTTTTTTAAGTGTTTTTTATGGTTTTTTTAGAGTTTGTTGGGGTTTTAGTGCTTTTAGGGTTTAAAGGGTATTTTAGGGTTTCTAGGGGTTTTTAGGGGTTTTTAGGGGTTTTTAGGGTTTTTAGGGTTTTGGGGTTTTTAGGGTTTTTAGAGTTTTTAGGCCTTCAGGGTGTTTTGGGTTTGTTAGGGTTGAGGGGCGAGGGTTTAAAAGGTTTGGCGTTTGGGGTTCAGGGTTTAGGGGGTTTGTTTAGGATTGACAGGGTTTAGGGGTTTAGGGCTTAGAGGGTTTAGAGGGTTTGGGGTTTAGGGTTTAGGGGGTTTGTTTTGGGTTCAGAGGGTTCAGAGGGTTTAGAGGGTTTAGAGGGTTTAGAGGGTTTAGAGGGTTTAGAGGGTTTAGAGGGTTTAGAGGGTTTAGAGGGTTTAGAGGGTTTAGAGGGTTTAGAGGGTTTAGAGGGTTTAGAGGGTTTAGAGGGTTTAGGGTTCAATTGCGGGGTCCAAATCATGGCTTAGGGTTAGGGTTTTGGGTTGTGGGGCTGCCTCTGGAGAGACATGGCAGTTTCGTAGGTCTTTGAAGTACCTAATATCAAGGGACTAAAGGGAGTTTAGGGTTTAGGGTTTAGGGTTTAGGGTTCCCCTATAAGCGACCTTAGGGGTACTTAGGGGCTACTTAGGCATATAGGGGCCCCGTGATTATAGGGTTCGTCAGGTATGCGGCATGGCGCTCGTAAGGTTTCATCGGATTCCCGCAGCCTGCACTCCTCCCCTACTTGGAGGTTCATGGGTACTTATAACACAAGTTGTAAGTCTGCTTATAGCCTACTTAGGGGACTCAGGGGGCTTATAAGTACAGTTTTATTTAGGGTAAGAAGTACCCTGAGCCTCCAAGTGGTGTAAACTTACTTACCGGGAACCTTGCGAGAGTAAAAGGGAGGGTGGCCTTGGGATCCCATGGCATGGTGGCCCGACTAGGTTTAAGGGGTTCAGGAAAGAGGCTCAACATAGCTCTTGCTGTCCAGGCACTAAACCCCAAACCCCAAACCCCAAACCCCAAACCCCAAACCCCAAACCCCAAACCCCAAACCCTAAACCCTAAACCCTAAACCTGTTTTGGGAATTCCGCTTGTTTTCCTGGCTCCCTCTCGGAAATAGCCCGGCCCGGAGCCCCTTTGTTTGTTTTTTTAAGGCTGAGGCTCCCTTGTTGAGGTTTAGGGTTTCGGGTTTGAGCTTCAGCATTTAGAAAGCAAAAGAGTGCACATCGTCTTTTTTCCCCATCTTGCTCCGGTTTCGGCTTTACAGATGTAAGATGCAGGCTTCATTGCGTTCATTATCATGATTAGTAGTAGCACTCTTGTTTTCTTAATACATACTTTTGGGGGTGGGGTTGAGGCTTTAGGGTTTAGGGCGCATGTGCGAGGTGCAGGACAGCTTAGCCTGTGCCAGCGAGCTCCAGTATCCCATCGTCTTGGTCTGTGCTAGGGCTGCTTGGATGTGTGCGAAGGGCTCCAGAGATTGTAAGAGTGTTTTGGGGGGTTTGGGGTTTTTGGGCAGTAGGGTCTAGTGGGTCTAGTGCTTTGAGGGTTTGGGTGTCTAGGGTTTATGGGGTAAAGTGTTTCATTGGTGCCGGGTAGGAAGCCCACATTAACACTGAAAGGTTGTCCCTTCATGAACTCGGCCAGTAAAGATTCAAAGCCCTAAAACCTAAAACCTAAACCCTAAACCCTAAACCCTAAACCCTAAACCCTAAACCCTAAACCCTAAACCCTAAACCCTAAACCCTAAACCTGTTTAGGGTGAGAGGGATGAAGTTGCCCCCCTGACCCTACGAAGCTCTATACAACCTAACATCTCTAACCAAAGGCACCGGAGCCTCCCAACACCCCGAAGGCCACAGAAGGCGAAGCGCCTAAAGCCATATAAGGCCCTAAAAGCCCTAAACCCTAAAAACCCCAAACCCTAACCCCTAAACCCGAAACCCTAAAAGCCCCAAACCCTAACCCCTAAACCCTAAACCCTAAAAGCCCCAATCCCTAACCCCTAAACCCCAAACCCTGAACCCTAAACCCTAAACCCTAAACCCTAAACCCTAAACCCCAGCAGCCCAGGACTTCCTGAAGCTGACCGACTCGGAGGTCCGAAGCTGCCACGAGGGCGTGCGTCTCAAAGGACCCGCGACGCGGATCCGGGGGGTTTAGGGTTTAGGGCTTAGGGTTTAGGGTTTAGGGCTTAGGGCTTAGGGTTTAGGGTTTAGGGTTTGGGGTTTAGGGTTTAGGGTCTGGGGTTTGGTGTTTGCTGGGGGCAGCTGTGGGAGCTTGCTTGTTCGGGCTGGTGGGGCTGGAGTTGGCGAGGTGGTTTAGGGTTTAGGGTTTAGGGTGTAGGGTTTAGGGTGTAGGGTTCAGCGTCAGAAATTTGAACTTCTCTTGGCAGACAATAGGGTCATGTAGGGATTACTAAGGAACCATGAAGCTTTAACATTTGCCCCAAAGTCAATCCCCGATAAGGGAAGGCGTCCCTATACGCCTATACTAGCGCATGGTAGTTATAAGTAAGGATATCAGAACCATAACCCAGGTTATTGATTCAATCAATCAATCAACTCCCCAAATACCTTCCTAGACCCGAAACCCTAAACCCTAAACCCTAAACCCTAAACCCTAAACCCCCTAAACCCTAAACCCTAAACCCCCTAAACCCTAAACCCTAAACCCTAAACCCTAAACCCTAAACCCTAAACCCTAAACCCTAAACCCTAAACCCTAAACCCTAAACCCTAAACCCTAAACCCTAAACCCTAAACCCTAAACCCTAAACCCTAAACCCTAAACCCTAAACCCTAAACCCTAAACCCTAAACCCTAAACCCTAACCCTAAACCCTAAACCCTAAACCCCTAAACCCTAAACCCTTCAAGTATGCGCCGCTTCCTGGGAGGAATGCTCAAGTTCTTGGACACTGACGAGCCGCTCGGTGCAGCATACAGGGTCAAGTTCTGGTGCTTAGGGTTTAGGGTTTAGGGTCAGTTCGTAAAAGTGGCCAAGTACAAGGTTGATACGGAAGGGCACGTTTAAGGTTGACAAGGAAGGTGTACGGGGAGGAGATTCCTCTGGTATGTGAACATTAGGATGGAAATGCGCAAGACAGGATGGAAATGCGCAAGATTACCCCAAACCCCAAACCCTAAACCCCAAACCCTAAACCCTGTGGGCATTGCTGTCTCTGAAAGATGCGGAAAATCAGAGGCCAGAGCGGGACAACGCCCTACATCCCAAAAGCCTGAATCCTAGGACCCTACTTGAAGCATTTAGGGTTTAGGGCTGAGGGCTTAGGGTTTGGGGTTTAGGGTTTGAGGTCTAGGGATTCATGGGTAGTTACAAGTAGGGTTAGAAGCCGATGTTATAACCTGAAAGTTGATTAATTAAGGTGCTTATGACCCTACTCTTAACTACCCATGAGGCTTCAACTACATGTGAAGACTTGCTTTGCCACATTTGAGCAGAGCCCAAGGTCTCAGACGCAAGAGTTAGGCCCTAGAAGCCCTAATTCAGTGGAGGCTCTCCAAACCATCAAAAACGGAACCCTGGCTGCCTAAACCCTAAACCCTAAACCCTAAACCCTAAACCCTAAACCCTAAACCCTAAACCCTAAACCCTAAACCCTAAACCCTAAACCCTAAACCCTAAACCCTAAACCCTAAACCGTTTCTCTCTCTCTCTCTCTCTCTCTCTCAGTCAGTCGAAGGTTGGAACCATGGGCCCTTAGTATGGTCCCTTACCCTTCTTGAAAGCTAGGATGCCCAGTAGTACCCTTATTCCCTTTTTGGGGGTTTAGGTTCCCTTAGAAACCCCTTAAAGCAAAAAAGGGCACCCTTTTTAAGCCTAGGTTACTGGGCAGCCTAGAAAGGGATTTCAAGGTAGCCGAAGTATGGGCCCTTCTTATGTCTAGTGTCTATAAGGGCTCCAAAAAACAGGGTTTAGGGTTTAGGGTTTAGGGCTTAGGGTTTAGGGTTTAGGGTTTAGGGTTCAGGGTTTAGGGTTTAGGGTTTAGGGTTTAGGGTATGGTGTCTATCAGGTCTCCAAAAAACCAGGGGACTCAAATGAAGGGCCCATGCTCCGGACCCCCTACTCAGGCTGTTGGCCAAATTCAAGAAGTCAGGTGGCCAGATCGTGTTCTTCTCCTATGCATCTTGGCTTGTAGGGTTTAGAGGTTAAGGGGTTTAGGGTTTAGGGTTTAGGGTTTAGGGTTTAGGGTTTAGGGTTTAGGGTTTAGGGTTTAGGGTTTAGGGGGTTTAGAGCTTAAGGGGGTTGACGGTTCAGGGCTTGCTGGTTCAAGCGATCAGAAGAGCAGAACAAAGTTCTCCGGTGAAACCGTGAGTTTCTGAAGAGTATCTGCTTGCCTGTGGACGTGAAGAAACATGAACCAACATGCGTCACCGGAGGAAAGAGGCAACCTGGATCTTCGTTGCCACCTCCCATGCCCAAGAACTACGGACAACGAAACGAGCACTTGAGGGCTTCATCGATTCGTTTGATTCCTTTTGTGCGGGAACCTCTTCTGGTACATTGCAGATATAAGGGAAGCTTTAGGGGTGATTCTGCAGTTACTGGTAAGCCCCAAACCTTATGATTACCATCTTCATCGATTGCCCTGTGGCAGGCCCGTGGAGGCCCACCCCAAGCCCTAAACCCTATAAGCCCTAAACCCAAGAGCCCCCCCCCAAACCCTAGACCCTAGAGCCCTTTAAGCCCGGGTCTAGGGAACCCTAAACCCTAGAGCCACGCCAACCCTAAACCCTGGAGCCACCCTAAACACTAAACCCTGGAGCTACCCTAAGCCGCAAACCCTGAACCCTAAGCCCTACAGCTAAACCCTAAACCCTAGAAAATAGCCCTAAGCCCTGAACCCTAAACCCTAAACCATAACCCTCTAAACCCACCGTAGACCTTGAACCCAGGAGTGACAACCCTGAACTCTAGCAAATAGCCTTAAACCCTAAACCCTAAACCCTAAACCCAGGAGTGGCAGTCTTGGACGAAGCTGGGCCCCAACGACGTCCAGCTCGAGTGGATGCGCATGAGCCTGTCGATGTATTCGGAGGCGAGAGGCTTAGGGTTTAGGGATTAGGGTTTAGGGGTTAGGGGTTAGGGTTTAGGGTTTAGGGTTTAGGGTATTTTGGGGGGGATTTTGGAGTTTAGGGCTTTCAGTGCTTTTTCGGGTTTAGGGGTTCGGGCTTTCAGGACTTTTCGGGTTTAGGGGTCTTTCGGGGCTTTAGAGGTTTTGGGGGCTTTCTGGGCTTTGGGGGTTAGGGCCGACACCAGCAGAGCGAGAAAAGAAAAAACGGAAAACAAAATCACGCAGGAATACGGCGTGCCGCTTGAGAACCTGCACGTTTGGCTGGACATCCTCGCCATCCCACAGCCCCCGGGACTTGACATGCGAAGGTTTAGAGTTTTGGGGTTCAGGGTTTAGGGTTTAGGGAACCCTCAACCCTAAGAACCCCTATAAACCCTGCAAGACGCTGGGGGGGGGGGGGGGGGGGGGGGGGGGGCCTGCGAACCCTATAAACCCTCTAAGCCCCTAAACCCTTATGCCCAATCTTTCGCTTCTTGCGAGGTTTCTTAGCTCTTGCTTGGGTCTGGAGAGCCCAGCATACGTTGTTCTCTTCCCCCCAAAACCCTAAAGGCCCTAAAACCCTAAACCCTAAACCCTAAACCCTTTTTGGGTTAGTTTCGGATGTTTTATAACGGAGCGGTCTTGAAGCTTGCGGTGCGAATCGGATTCCTTGCAGCCCATGCAGCCGAAGCCAACAGCTTAGCGGGCGGAAGCCCTAAACCCTAAACCCTAAACCCTCAACCCGCAACCCTCAACCCTCAACCCTCAACCCTCAACCCTAAACCCTAAACCCTGAACCCTAAACCCTAAACCCTAAACCCTAACCCTAAACCCTCAACCGGTCAACCCTCAACCCTCAACCCTAAACCCTAACTTTCGAGTCCAGAACGCCGAGGTGTCATGTTGGCATGAAGACCCTGGCCGTGAACTCCCTGTATGTCTATGCAGCCTCTACCAGCGCCTTCATCATCATCGCCCCAGCTCTCCGGTCAAAATCAAGGGTTGAGGGTTCATTAGGGTTCATGGTTTAGGGTTTAGGCTCAGGGTTTAGGGTTTAGGGTTTGGGGTTTGGGGCGCAGGGTTTAGGGCTAAGGGTTTAGGGGTCATCTTTTGCAGAGGGATGTTGGGAGGAGAGTTGGCCTTAGGACGATGCTGCACAGGCACCGGGAGCTAAGGGGTACAAGTAGGGACCCCTAGAAGGGACCCTTAATCTTGTTGCCCTATATAGCCCCTATATGTACCTTGTAGAGTCCCTGTACCTAAGAAGCCCCCCACATAACCCCTATGGTCCCTTACAAGGGCCCTCCTTTCGTCCCTTGAGGGAGCATCGGCATGCACACAACTTTCCCGGTTTTCTAGGCCATGCATGAGAAGGAATCGGCCCCAGTGCATGCCCGGTTTTAGGGTTTAGGGTTTGGGGTTTGGGATTTGGGGTTTAGGGTTTAGGGGTTGGCAAAGAGCCGGGATGATCTCAGGTGCCCCAGCTCTACAGACTTGCCAATGTAATGTAGCTGTGATGAACACCTTTCCCGACAACCCTGCTCCCTCAGCGCGAAATACACCCCCAAAAAAAAACAACGACGCAGAACCCTGACCCCGAACCCTAAACCCCAAACCTTGAACCTTTGCTACCCAGGATTGCGTCCACGAGAACACTGGCAACCAGTCGGGCATCCAGTCGTACAAGGACCACAGATATGCATATCCGACCACACATCGGGAATTGGAGGGTCCTAAGATAGCGTGCCACGCGGGTACTTTTAATACATTGTGGGCGTGCCCTCAGTAGATGAAAACCCCTGAAGTCTTTAGTTTGAGAACGCGAAAGTTCTGCAAAGTCTTAGAAGGCCTCATTCCTGAACCTTTGAGCTAATTTCCACGTCATCCCAAGAGGTCTACCCTTTGAACGCCTGAGATTCCCCTGCACAATGTAGAACCTCCGTGGCCCTAAACCCTAAACCCTAAACCCTAAACCCTAAACCCTAAACCCGAATCCCGGAACCCTGAACCCTAAACCCTAAACGCTAAACCCTCAAAACCCAGAACAATAAACCCTGTACCCTACATCCTTTGACCCCTTCCTGAGGTCTTTGCTCGCTTCCTAAGTCTCCTGTATCTACAGCAAGGGCTGTCAGGTAGTCATGGGGATGTGCTTTCGACTGGAGGACTTTCCCTCAGAATCTCTCCCTTGAGGATTCGAGTCATTTCCTATTTCTACATTCGGGCTACACTAGACGTTGCCCATAAAGCTGGAAGGTTCATTGTTGTCAACAAGCAGGCGTTAAGCGTGCCATTCTCAAGGATCCAATATAGACTTCAGTACTTCCATCCCTACCTATAGCAGACAGCTGCCCAAGAACCTTCAAGTACTGGAGTACCCTAAACCCTAAACCCTAAACCCTAAACCCTAAACCCTGAGAAGGGAGCAGCCCCTCCAGGATCGCGTGTGGACGCGCGTGGAGCAGGTGGCAATGGTGTCAGCGACGCCAGACGAAGACGAACCCCAAACATTAAACCCTAAACCCTAAACCCCCAAACATCAAACCCTAAAGCCCCAAACATTAAACCCTAAACCCTCAACTCCGAGGCCAAAGCCTAAACACTAAACTCCACAGACAGCGGACGCAAACTTGCGCCCTGAAAAAAACCGTAAGCTCTACAGTTTTTCTCCCAGAGAATCCCAGGGGTGGGGATCCTCAGTCGGGTTCGCGTACTCAAAATCCCTACATAATCCCTGCTATCCCTGCTTACGAAGTCCCCCGATCCGCCAAGAAGGTAGAGCAGAGATTAGGCAAGGGCGGCTTCCGTGTAGCAGCATATACGGACCTTAACCCAGACCCTGCAGTACTGGGGTTTAGGGTTTAGGGTTTAGGGTTTAGGGTTTAGGGTTTAGGGTTTAGGGTTTAGGGTTTAGGGTTTGGGGCTTCGGGCGCCCCGTAGATTCTTGACCCCGTGTATAGGGGCAATGTTTCTAGGTAAGGAACCAGCAGCAACCTCCATGAAACCCGGACTGCCAGATCCTAAACCCTAAGCCCTAAGCCCTACACCCTAAACCCTAAACTCTAAACCCTAAACCCTAAACCCTAAACCCTAAACCCTCCGGGGTTGAAGCCTGGAGCTTGCAGAGCACCAGGAACGGAACCAGCAAGATGTTCCTCTCCGAAGGGAAGAGTGCCTCGGAGAATGCCAGGCATTTCAGTGCTTTGAGGTTGAGGGTTGAGTCCTTGATAGGGATTCTAGTACCCCCCAGTCATAATCCCTAGCAAGGACTGTTAGTAAAAGGGGGAAGGGGGAACATGCCCCCTAAACCCTAAACCCTAAACCCTAAACCCTAAACCCTAAACCCTAAACCCTAAACCCTAAACCCTAAACCCTAAACCCTAAACCCTAAACCCTAAACCCTAAACCCTAAACCTAAGCCCCTACTATAATTGCCTATCCTAGGCGGCTTGAAGCCCGTGGACATGGACTTCTTGTCAAGGACCCGGCGTTTCCTATAGAAGAGACCAGAAGTGGACCACCCCAAACCCTAAAACGCCCTAAACCCTAAACCCTAAACCCTAAACCCTAAACCCTAAACCCTAAACCCTAAACCCTAAACCCTAAACCCTAAACCAGAAGTAGAGCCACCCTTAGGGCACTTTTGGGCTTGAAGGCCTTGGGCTTCTAGGGCTTTAGAGGGTTTTGGGGGCTTAGGGTTTAGGGTTTAGGGTTTGGGGTTTAGGGTTTAGGGTTTAGGGTTTAGGGTCTTACAAGTGTCCAACTCCACGTAGTCCCTGATTCCTGAGCCCCAGATGTTGAGCTTCGTTGAACCTTAGGGTTTTGGGTTCAGGGTTTCGGGTTTAGGGTTTAGGGTTTGGGGTTTAAGGTTTAGGGTTTAGGGTTCAGGGTTTAGGGTGCTATCCCTTCCGTCGCAAGCCCCTCAAGTCAAGTTAGTATAGTCATGGGGTTTGGGTTCGGGGGTTTTGGGTCTTAGGGGAGCAGGCCCCTCAACCCCAAACGCGAAACCCTAAACCCTAAACCCTAAACCCTAAACCCTAAACCCTAAACCCTAAACCCTAAACCCTAAACCCTAAAAGCCCAAGCCAGATATCGTTCCTTCATGTCTTAGCTGGCTGAAGGAGCCTCGAGGTGTTCCAGGCCAACATGCCGCTGTGCGACGAAAGGCTTTGCTGTCCTTGGCGTATGGTTGGGGGTTTAGGGTTTAGGGTTTAGAGTTTAGGGTTTAGGGTTTAGGGTTTAGGGTGTATAAGAACCTGAGTTTGACGTTTTGGCAGGTTGTGGCAATGAAGTCCAGTCCCTTTGCAGGCCCCACCCCAAAGAAAAAATAGGATTTCTGAGGTAAGGCCTAGGGCGTGGGGGTTGCATGCAGTAAGAGAACGCGAGTAGAACGTCAGTTGGAGTTTAAGGACAAAGAGTACAAAGGAAGAAGGTCATGATCATAGGTTGGATATGGATGGGTATACTACCCGTGAAGTCCCCCAGCTGAGGTCGTGCTGCCGAAGGAATCACGAGCACCAGGACTACTGCGACAAGGACTGTGCAACGGGTTGACCCTAAACCCTTAACCCTTAACCCTTAACACTTATAACCCTAAACCCTTAACCCTAAACCCAAACCACCTTGTGTAAGGTACCCTCGCCGTTAAACCTGGGAACCTTTGGGAACTCTTTCCCTGGAGCTTTTCTTTTACGTGATTTCGAACTCTACTTGAAGATTTATGTTAGTTGTAAGCTAGGCTATAAGTAAGGTAACCAATCTGATCACCTTTACTGAGGTCAGAACCCTTACTTATGACTACCCATGAACCTGTAGACTTCTAATCCAAAAATCCTAGCCCTAACCCCTAAACCCCTAACCCTAAACCCTAAACCCCTAACCCTTATTCACCCTCAACCCTAACACTTCCCAAGCGCGCAAGGAGATGGTGTTGCTTCCAATGTTGGGGCGCCTCGACATGCTATTCACGACGCCCTGGGAAGTTTCGGTATAAAGTTCAGAAGCTTCACAAACCGAAACCGGCTAGGGTTCAGGGTTCAGGGTTTTGGGCTTAGGCTAATACAATGAGGGCTTTAGGGCTTCTAAGTTTAAGCCCGAAACCCCCAAAACCCCAAACCCTCCGAAACCCCCAAAACCCCAAACCCTTAAGCCTCAAACCCTCGAAGTCGTTTGGGCTTTGAACGCAGGTGGGAGCCCGACGCGTAGCCTCGACTCCTGCTAAGACCCCCTAAAGCCCAGTTTCCCAAGAGCCCTGCCCACCCTAAACCTCCCAAGAGACCCTGGCTCCCACCAGCCCTACTCGAAGGTTCATTCCGGTAGCCACAAGGAGGGATAAAAGTACCTGAATTCAGGGCATACTCGAGGCTACCTCTCGCTCAAACCCTACTCACAACTACCCGAACCTTTAAGTGATTCCTAAGAGACCCTAAAAACCCCTAACCCTAAGCCCTAAGCCCCAAACCCTAAAAACCCCAAACCTAAAAACTCAATCCTAGATAGAACCCCTGAAAGCGCCCTTGAAGCCCTTCAGCCCTTCCCACCCTAATCCCAAAACACTAAACCCTAAGCCCTAAGCCCTAAGCCCTAAACCCTAAACCCTAAACCCTAAACCCTAAACCCTAAACCCTAAACCCATCTCAGACTCTGGTTCCGCCTCTTGGCCGCGCAGCGCGGCATTGGCGCGAGCGCCAGCATCCAGGCCAGGCGCGCGCGCGCGGCGTTTAGCCCCGAAGGAAGGGCTTGGGGTTTGGGGTTTAGTCAAAGGAAGAATAAGGAGCCTATAAAAAGCGTGCCCCTATCATATAAGAGGTTGTGGTTGGGTCGGTGAGTGGCTGGTGAGTGGCATGTGAGGCACATGTGAGGGGATGTCTCGGGGAAGAGCAAATGAGAAGCTTGTAAGGTCAAAAAGGGCTGAGGCTTGGCTATCCTGTGTAAGCATGTTTTTGCGTCGACCCTGTCTTTGAGTAAGCTCTCGTGAGAATTCAACCCGATCCAGGGTTAGTCAGGCCCCGTTTTTTTTGTCAGTCGAACGGGCGCAGCATTCGTCACGCAAGCTCTCGTCGCTCGAACTCCAAGACCAGGCCCGCAGAAGGCTCGAAGCAGCCAGAGGCCCGTAAGTGGCTCGCGAATGGCTCTATGTAGGCTTGTAAGTGGCGCGAAGGCCCATGAGGGGCCCGTAAGTTCGCAAGGGGCCTGAGCGGCACGTAAGCGGCATGTAAGTGGCATGTAAGCGGCACGTAAGTGGCCGTAAGTGGCGCGTAAGTGGTAAGTGGCACGTAAGTGGCACGTAAGCAGCCCGCAAGTTGCCAAGGGTCCCCGTAGGAGGCCCGTGTTGAAGCCCGCACAAACCTGTGCAGGAGACCCATGCAGCATCTGCCAAAAAACACCAGAACTTAGAAGTCAGGCAGCCTGCTCTTAGCCTCTCCCTGAAAAACACCAAAGGTTACGTACTCTCCTTACCCACACGACCTGATCTTACATAGCCTCTCCTTGAAAAACACCTAAACTTACATACTCTCCTTACCCAAGGGACCCGATCTTATGTGATAGGGGCACGCTTTTTATAGGCTCCGGAAGCTTCCTTTGATTTAGGGCTTAGGGCTTAGGGTTTAGGATTTCGGGTTTAGGGTTTAAGGTTTTTTGGGGTTTTTTGGTTTAGGGTTTAGGGCATAGGTACCTCAAACAGCTTTATACCAAGACAGCTTGTGGTTCTTTGTCTTTGGGCCGGGTTGCGCGAGACCGATGAAACAAGCCGGCAAAGATTCGCAAACGGCACCCGTTCGCATGACCCTTGTTGTTCAGGATCAGGGACCTCAGCCCTAACCAAAGAGACCTGAGCTCCAGACCCTTGGACCCTCGGAACCCCGAGGCCAAGTACTCCCTCAACTCCAAACCCTAAACCCTAAACCCTAAGCCCTAAACCCGAATCCCTAAACCCTAAACCTTAAACCCTAAACCTTAAACCCGAAACCCGAAACCCTAAACCCTACACCCTAACCCTAAACCCTAAACCCTAAACCCGAACCCTAAACCCCTTCTCAAGGAGAAGGAACTCCAACCCTTCCAATCAGGAAGTGTACAACATCTACATGACGGACCTCGACCGATACCTCCCCACCTACTTCGACTACACACAAGCTCCTGAGCCTCATGTGCGTCTACCCAACAGGGTTTAGGATTTAGGGTTTAGGGTTCAGGGTTTCGGGTCTAGGGCTTAGGGTTTAGGGTTTAGGGAACACCCCACGAGCCTGAAGCCCGAACACCCTTTGAACAGAAACAGCTCCTGACCCCTGAGGCCGTAAACCCTAAACCCAAAACCCTGTGGTCCGTGGTGTTGCCTCAGCATCATTCTTGGAGCTCTGTGTTTAGGGTCCACGGATTAGGGTTGGCCCCAACCCAATTTAGGGCATGCTGCATAGCATCTTGATTTTGCGTAAAACGTATATCCTGCCTATAGCTACCCGTCATTAAGGAACTTCTATATCCCTCCCTTATAGCTGCCCGCATGGGCCTTCAAGTTCAACCTAAAGCCTTATAGGGATTGGGTTTGGGGATTGGGGTTTAGGGTTTAGGGTTTTCGGTCCAGTCTGGGAACCCCTTGTAAAGGCACCCCTTCTCGGCGATTAATTTGGGAGTGCATGTTACCCGAACCGATATGACCCTATCTTAAGCCCGGAAATGTTTGAGTTTTTAGAGAGCCAACCTAGCCCCCTTTAAGCCAAAAAGCGGGATTTGGGTTGAACAGTAAGGCCCCTCAACCCGAAACACAAGAGGTCAAGAACAGAACCCTAAAAGCCCACAGCCCTCCCAAACCCAAAACCCCTGAACCGTAAACCCCCTAAACCTCAAGGCCTAAACCCTAAACCCTAAACCTTAAACCCCAAGCCCTAAACCCTAAACACTAAACTCAGAAAAAAAGGAAAATCTAACCTGTACCCTGAACCCTAAACCCTAAATGCCCTAGAAATTCCCCAGGCGAACGGGCCCACCGTTCGGCGCCCGCTCTTCGGGAACTTGACCAAGGCTTTGTGGTGCTTTACTGTAACTTTAGATCCTTAGCCTTTTTGGGTTTATTGGGTTTCTTAATAAGGCAGCCAAAAGTTTGATTTTTCCTACCCTCCTAAGTGCAGCCAAGAAGGCCAACCTGGAATGGTGCAGAAGTTTGTGGGCGGCCAGTGCTGTTTTGCTTTGGGTTTTGCTTTGTTTTCGGGGCTTCTGTGCACTTATACGTAAGCCCTAAGCCGTAAAACCTAAACCCTAAACCTCAAACCCTAAACCCTTTTAGGGTTTTGGGGTTCCGCGTGCCAGCATCGTAACCTTGAGATTGGGCCCTCTTTCGTGGTCCGTTGTTAGAAAAAGCAGGGTGCCGCACTAGAAAACCAGGGAAAGCATCCAGAAGGGCGTTTGCGGACAAGGGTTTAGGGTTTAGGGGTTATAGGGCCTTACTTCCGAAGCTCCAAACCCCAAAGCCTTGAATCACAGCCATAAGAGGTCCCCCCCCCCCCTCTCCCCCCTCCCCCCCCTCCCTCCACCAAACCATAAACCCTGAACCTCAAACCCCAAACCCTAGACCCCAAGCCCTAAACCCTAAACCCTAAACCCTATACTCGCTCCCCTCCCTCCGCGTTTGCCGCATGCTGTCCAACTAGGTCCCCAATTTGTTGGAGCTCCCCTCGCTCACCTGTGCACGACCTTCCTGGGCACTCCTGGAAATTATCCCTCCACAGGCCCAAACACTGGTTTGGGGTTTCAAGGACCAGGGGCTCAGGGTTTCGAGGTTTAGAGGTTTAGGGTTTAGGGTTTTGGGACCCTCAACTGCATTACCCCTCCAAATCCGCAAGCCCTCGACCCTAAACATGCCCTAAACCCTAAACCCTAAACCCTAAACCCTAAACCCTAAACACACATGGCAGGAAGTGAAGAAGATCGTGGACAACCTCAGCGACACTGAGCTCGCCGACATCCTCAAGGCCAGGGACTTCCCCTTCCCTCCCCCGTGGCAAACATGGGTTTAGGGTTGAGGATTTAGGGTTTAGGGTTTAGGGTGTAGGGTTTAGGGTAGCACACACGAAGTCATTGGGCCTTTCGGGTGTTTACAAGGGTTTCGGGTTTGGGGCCGAGGGCTTCGGGTACGCACCTGCATCTTCCTGAGCCCTGAGTACCTTCAAGGTCCGAGCTCCTGTATATGTATGTATGTCTTTACATATGTGTATGTATGTATGTATGTATGTATGTATGTATGTATGTATGTATGTATTTATGTATGTATATGAAAATGTATATGTATATGTATATGTATATGTACATGCATATGTATATGTATATGTATATGTATATGTATTTGTATATGTATATGTATATGTATATGTACATATATATATATATATGTGGTGTGCTTTGCAAGATACGAGGAATTAAACAAAAACCTGCCTCACACAGTGAAAACCTATAGCTTCCTTAGGTTCGGAATTCTGCTTGGCATTTGCTTGCGAGAAACCGAAGGGAGCATTGACAATCCTCTTTTGTTGTGTGTTTCTACTTGAAGTTGTGCAGAATAGTCAGATGTCTGCAGCGGAGCACGGTGAGTGTCCTTGTAGATTTAATCCTAAACCCTTAACCCTAAACCCTATGCCCTATACCCTAAACCCTAAACCCGAAACCCTAAACCCTAAACCGGCCGAGAGCCAGTTCCCCCAAGAACCTCCCTCGAACCAGTGTTGGATGTAGAGCTTGTTTGGGTCTGGGGTTTAAGGTGTTAAGGGTTTCAGGGCAGAAGGGGGTTTAAAGCTTTAAGGGTGTAAGGGCTCCAGGGTTCTAAGGTTTCAAGGGTTTAACGGTTTAAGAGTTGAAGGGTTGCTTGGGATGTTCCCCCCTTATACTAACAGTCCTGAATAGGTATTCTAGTACCCCCTAGTATAATCCCGAACCCTAAACCCTAAAAACTAAATCCTAAACCCGACACCGGTACTAAGGACTGCTAGTATAGGGGGAACATCCCAAGTTTCCGCGCTCGGTCCAGGTTTGAGACCCTAAACCCTAAACCCTATGCCCTAAGCCCTAAGCCCTAAGCCCTAAACCCTTGTCATTCCGCGGGCTTGTGAGACCTTTGGGTTCCAGGCAGTAGTAGGGCCCTTTGGGCTCATGGTTTGGGGTTTAGGGTTTGGGGTTTGGGGTTTACGGTTTAGGGTTCATAGGGTTGGGGGTTTAGGGCCTAGGGCATTTGGGCTTTTGGGCTTCTAGGCTTCTAGGCTTTTAGGCTTTTGGGCTTTCGGGTTTCGGGTTTGGGGTTTGGGGCGTTTTGGCTGGGGAGGGGGGGAGTCGCGCCTGGCGCAGGTTCAGCCGGAGGAACAGGCGGCGTTGGGGGACGACAGCGGTCCCAAGGTGGAAAGGTTCTTGTCGGATGCACTGAAGTGGCCCGTCCCAGAATCGATCCAAACGGAGGAAATGTGAGTCGCGCTCTAAACCCTAATTAATCCCTAAACCCCAAACCCTATCCTCACTCTTCTGGCAGCCGGCTTCAATCAAACCCCGATATGAAGGCCAATATCCAACCCATTGATTCCCCTTTCCGTACCTTCAGGTTCGCTTGGAAAACCCGACCCTAAACCCTAAACCCTGAACCCTAAACCCTGAACCCTATACCCTAAACCCTAAACCCTAAACCCTAAACCCTAAACCCATTCAAGAAAAAGGGATGCCCTGGCTTTCTTGGCGTCGACAGAGTTTGGGTGGTCAGCGGTTTAAGCCCTTGGCCGGTTGAGGGCTGATGGTCTGTAGTTTTTTGGGCTCCCTGTAATCCCTTAACACAAAACTCTATAAACCCTAAACCTTAGACCCTAATCCCTAAACCCTCAACTCACTTCCCCTTTTTGCGACCTTTTCGGCGTGCAAGCACCCCACTCAAGTGTGGAGTCCTGCAGACTTGGGGGCACAGACGCTTTGACGCCCTTGGAGAGGGCGCCAAGTTTTACCTTAGGGCCCCCCGATGCCGCCAAGCCTCCATGCAGGGTTTAGGGTTTAAGGTTTAGGGTTTAGGGTTTAGGGTTTAGGGTTTACAGTTAAGGGTTTAGGCTTTAGGGTTTAGGGTTTGGGGGTTAGGGTCTACCTAAACCATAGACCCTGAACCTGAACCCATGGAAGATTCATTTTTTTACTAGGCCCTTGGGACATTTTGTATTTTTATTGGGTTTAAGAGGATCATATTCAGCAACATTTTGTCAGAGGGCGTTAAGGACCCTCAAACCCCAAACCCTAAACCACAAAGGTCATCCTGGTTTAGAGCCCTCAAAACGTCCGAGCCGTGTGGCGTTCGGGTACGTGCTGGTCGCAGAGGCCACCCAAACTGAAGCCCCGCCGGGCATTACTCCCTCTTCTGATGAGGGTTTAGGGTTTAGGGTTTAGGATTCAGGGTTTAGGATTTTGGGTTTAGGTTTAAGGTTTAGGGCCTCGTATCATTGGGTTACGTTGTGGCATTTAGGGTTGAGTGTGTATGTTGGGTATGCAGCCCATTAGAACCCAAGAACGCACCCTTCTTGTTCCTAGGGTACTCTGTGGGTTCGTGGTTTAAAGCGCAAGCTCAAGCCACTCCTTGTTCCCCCTAGACCCTAAACCCTAAACCCTAAATCCTAAACCCTAAACCCTAAACCACTGCTTGTTCAGCGTTGGCCTCCACGTGTGCAGTGTCAAACTGCTTGCTGAGGACAAGGGCAGGCCAGCCGGCAGCTAGGGGTCGGAATAGTTAGTAGGGTTTAGGGTTTAGGGTATAGGGTTTAGGTTTTAGGGTTTGGGGTTTAGGGTTTAGGGCCCTTAAGGTCCCTGTCAAATTGTACTACAATAACCCCCAAAACCCTATGCTAGGTTCCTTCGGGGTACCTTGCAAGGCTCCGTAGATCCTAAACGATAAACTCCCCAAGTTGTGATCCGGGGGGGGGGGGGGGCAAACCCTAAACCCTAAACCCTAAACCCGAGACACTTTAGCGGTGTAGTGGACACGGCCCAAGATCCCCCGAGTGCTAGCAGTTAGGTACATTCCGCTGTGAGCAAACCCTATGAGATCTAACCCTAAATCCGATAAACCCTAAGCCCTAAACCCTAAACCCTAAGCCCTAAACCCTAAACCCGGAACCTAAAGCCTGTAAGCTCTGACCTCGAAACCCAGCGGGCCTGTCTGCTAGGATTTTTGTGCTAGCTAGGGCCCTTGCGTTCCCTTATATGGGTTTAAGAGGATCAGAGATGTCGGACTGAGTATATTTCGGAGGGTGTCAAGGGCCATCCTAGTGATGGTATTTGGTAGCTCTGCGGAAGTTTGGCGCAGAAGTTCTCTGGGGCTGGCTCCAGTCAGGGTCCCGGCACACCCCTACGATCTACCTTGCGTTGCCCGGTGGGTGGTTTGGTTTGTGATTTAATCCCTAAGCCCTAAACCCTAAACCCTGAACCCTAAACCCTAAACCCCTAGTCCCTAGTTTTTGGGTTTAAGGTTTTGGGGGGGTTTGGGCACACAAACACTCAAACCGTTGAAATCCCTGAGTCGAACCTCATACATCTCCAAACCCCTGCAATCCCTTTTTGAAGACACTGAGGGTTTAGGGTTTAGGGTCTAGGGTTTAGGGTTTTCTCTGCCCTACTGCAGTAGTTTCGGGGTTTAGGGGGTCGGGTTGCTGTTTGGGATTGAGGGTTTGTTGTAGATCATATGGGGGTTTTCCAAAATAGGGGTACCCCTTATATACCTCCAAAAAATATTCTGTACAATCCTTCTACAGAAACCCAAAAGAGGGTATCGTTAATTTTGGAAACCCCCCCATATGGTTTCTTCAGGATAGCAAACTGTGTCAAGCTCCTCCGCAGCAACCCATACACCTCAGCCCTACAGCCTCCGCAGGGTTCTTGCGGCTTTGCCCGGCGGCGGCACTAAACCCTAAAGCCTAAACACGGGTGTAGGGTTTAGGGTCGAGGGTTTAGAGTTTGGGGTTTGGGGCACCGAACTCTCTGGGTCCCTACTAGTAACCAGAAAGACCCCCGTCGGGTCTCTATCTAGGCCTAAAGCTTTTAAGGTTGACGAATGCAGGAGGCCTACACAGGGATTTGGAGTTTGGGTTCTTTGCCAGGGGGGGGGGGGGGGGGGGGGGGGGGGTAGTAAGATCTCTGAAAGTTTAAAGTCCCACACTAAAGCTCTGGGTCTAGGGTTCGGCAGGCTTTGGCAAACTAGGGTCCTAAACCCCAAATCCTAAGTCCTCAACCCCATGAAAGCCAACCCCTAAACCCCAACCCCCGAATTGCATTTTTTGAAATGGAATGGGTTATTTAGCGTTTATTGTTAGATTCGTTACATGTGCAGCCCTCAACGCCAAGTCAGGCCCTTGGGGGCTGGATGGAACCGAGCCCTTTGACCAGACTGCTGTTAAACAGCGGCCAGAGGGAGTCCCCCCCAGAGACGGCTGACTGCCATGGGTGGGGGTAGGGGAGGCAGGGGGGTTTAGGCTGGCATTGCCGTTTCCGCCAAGAAGCCAGAAACCCTGAACACAAAGTGGCCTGTGGCCCACTCATGGCAGATACTTAGCACAGGCGCTGAACTTCAAGGGTGGAATGGGGCGGGGGGTGGTGGTAGGGTTTAGGGCTTAGGCTTAGGGCTTAGGGCTTCGGGTTTAGGGTTTAGGGTTTAGGGCTTAGGGTGTAGCATTGGTCAGCTGAACGCAAAAGTGTGAAGACATGCCCACCCCGAGGCCACCCAAACAATACTCATCACGAAACCAAACCGGAGCCAGCCAAAGCCAAGCCAGCCATTCAAATCTCACATATCGAACATGTTCAGAGCACACTAAGATAAAACACTGCGAAAGCTTGGGATATGTGCGAGTCGTGAACACTTGCCGAACTTGGGGCGAGCTGTTGGCGATTTCTTGGGGGGGTCACTTGGGAACAGTGGCTGATTGGGACACAGGAAGTCGGAGATCATCTGGGGCCAGAAGGCAGCATGTCGAGCACTGCCTGGGACTACTTTGAGGGGGTGCCAAGGGTGTCCCTTGACTTTGGAGGTCACTTGGGGGCACAAGGCAAAGGATCCCCCCCCTCTCAGGTTTTGCGCAGGGGACGGTCTGGGCCGAAGGGCCCTCTCACAGAAAACTCAGGGCGTGAAGAGTCTGCAGGTTTTGCAAGAACCCCCCCCCCCCCCACGCCGAAGTTCACTTGGCCAGAGAACGAAACTCACTAGAGCGGTCAAAGCGAGGGGTAGGGCTTCCTGTCAGCGTCAGCTCAGCAGGGCCAGCAGGGCCAGCAGGGTCAGCAGGGTGAGCAGGGCCAGCAGGGCCAGCAGGGCCAGCAGGGCGCCAGCAGGGCGCCAGCAGGGCGCCAGCAGGGCGTCAGCAGGGCGCCAGCAGGGCCAGCAGGGCCAGCAAGGCTGGGCCAGCAGGGCCAGGGCCAGCAGGGCCAGCAGGGCCAGCAGGGCAGCAGGGCCAGCAGGGCCAGCAGGGCCAGCAGGGAGCAGGGCCAGCAGGGCCAGCAGGGCCAGCAGGGCCAGCAGGGTCAGCAGGGGCGCCAGCAGGGCGCCAGCAGGGCCAGCAGGGCCAGCAGGCAGGGCCAGTGGCCAGGGCCAGGGCCAGGGCCAAAACCAGGGCCAGGGCCAGACCCAGAGACAGGGTCAGGGCCACAGGGCCAGGGTTAGGGCCAGGGCCAGGGCCAGGCAAAGGGTCAGGCCAGGGCCAGGAGGGCCAGGCAGCAGGTGGCCCAGCCCAGGGCCAGGGCCAGGGCCAGTGCCAGGGCCAGCGTCAGACCAGAGTTTAGGGTACTAATATATATATCTGACACAAGCTAGGCGACTCTAGCTAGGCGACCCTCTCAGGAGTGTGCCTGGCAGGCTCTGCAGCCTAGCAGAGCCTGCCGTGGTCTCGCTGAGCGCTCGACTGCGCCCGCCTACCCCAATACAGATGAGAGGGGTGGCGGGCGGGTTTAGGGTTTAGGGTTTAGGGTCTAGGGTTTAGGGTTTAGGGTTCGGGTGGGGGGGGGGGGGGGTAAATGTAAACTTGTTTTCGGAAGGGTTTCGTGTGTAAAGGGTTTAGGGAGGTTTTGCGCAGAAGGGTTCTTCTGTATGAAATGCCCAATGGGGGGGGGGGGTCCCCTTTAAATTCGGGGACCCCCAAACCCCTAAACCCTAAACCCTACAGAGGTTATAAAGCCCAAACTGAAGGCGAAAGCGTTTACTGTAGGCCCCAGGAAAGCCCGAGAAACTCAGCGCCTTTCCGTTTGCATCTTCAGTGTGAAGCACTGCCCGGATTTTTATTGACAAGTTTTCTCCATGCGTAGAAGCAAGGCCCGACCTAAGGTGTCTCCTCAAGGTGGGTTTAGAGTTTAGGGTTTTAGGGTTTCAGGGTTCAGGGTTCAGGGTTCAGGGTTTGGGGTTTAGGGTTGAGGGTTGAGGGTTTAGGGTTTAGGGTTTAGGGTTTAGGGGTTTAGGGGGT